AGTAACCAAGCAGAAGCCGTCCTTCATGGAGGCCCGTGCTGTAAGTGCCCTCAGTGAGTCTCTGCAGCATAAGGAGAGTCACTGCTGCTCCTCTTCCTCTTTCCGTTCTCTCCATCATCGTATCCGTCCGTCTGTCCAGTGTCCGTGGCTTGGTGAGAACGGGGAGTTTCTGGAAATTTCTGTCCAGGTGCCAGCACCTGTCTGACAGTCACATTCACTCTGGAGCTCTGGATGTACCTGGAGCAGACAGCCCATTCCTCCTCGGACACCGGCTCCACCACGGAGCCTTCCTGTGGTGGGGGGGTCTGGATGCTTCCCCCCGTCTCTAATGCCAGACGCCCCGGAGGTGGGGGGAGGATTCGTGGGACTGCGTGGTACAGAAGGCGGCTGGGCCCTGACATCACCATCACGTCCCCACTGTGCATGAGCATGGCTGTGGGGGGGTCCTGTCAGCGGGGGCCGCCCAGGAGAAAGATGGCTGACTGACCAAAACTGTAAAGACAACACGGAAAAACAGGGAATTCAAACATGTCCTTCGCATAACGACGGTGAAAAAACAAGCGTCCCACCTAAACGACAGCAGCGGTCGAGTGTGGTCCAGCTCCGACTCGTCCACGTGGATTCCCAGAGAAGAGTCTGATCGGTAATAGTTGAGGATTCCCGCTTCCGAGATAAAGCCAGGGAAGCCGCAGGCAGCTGTCACGTGAGCGGAGAGGAGGTGGAGGTCACGTGGGAAAGGAGTGTGACTGCTGGGTAGGGTTGCCAACTCCCTGAAAAATAAATAAGGGACACCTCGTGGCCAGGGCCGGGCGACCCAATTGTCTTCACCCTTCCCAGTGTGGTGAATTTTCTAGCTCTTTTTTTGTGTGTGAAATTATTTTTTTAACCATTTGACTTGAATTTGATTTAAGTAGATGCATATTCTATTCTTTGTGATATGAACACATGGGAAACAAATGATCATTTAGCCATTTATTTTTTAGCTCAAAATGACAACATTAACACGATAAAACAGGTCTCCTTCTTAAACAGAAGCCTGTCATGCTTAACTTTTGAGAATATAAGTAAATCTTTCTTTAAAAGAACTCTGTCCTGCTTAACTTAAAATAATAGAAAACAATAGAAAGAAAAACATTCTTGTAACAGTGCTCATTTAGTGCATTTAGTACAATTGGCTTCAGTTGAGGTATTATTTCAGCTTTTCTAATGCTAATCAGCTGCTCCTGTTTGTAAACCCACTTGCTCCCATGATTACGCATCTTAACTCATCATCATTATTCATCTATGTATTACTTTTATGTATTAGTCATCTATTTGTTGTAATCATCTATTCTTGCAGTTGTTTATTACACAAAATAAGTTATATTATCACACTTCTGGCCACATAGCGCTGATATTCACTGCACATGCCAATATTAACTTTTTCCAGCCAGGTGTTTTCCTTTTCCCATTCTTCCCTTTCTCTGAGGGGAACAAACATTGCTGCTCTAATGCTGGGCTTACACTGTGCGGTTTTAGGCCCATTTTGAGCCGATTTTGGCCTTCATCGTGCATCGTGTAGTATACGTGGGGTAACGAGAAGTGATTAACACCTCACGACCAGCTCCCGATCATCAATTGCTCGTGAGGGTCTCACCACAGCCGCTCACACTGCTCGCGCGCAAACACGTAAACGTTGGTGAAAAAGACGGCGCAGCACGGCTGTGCAGCCTGTGATCTGGACACAAGCGATGGAGGCACAACTTGTAGAACTTTGGAAAGCTCATCCGAGCCTTTTCGATGTGGCATCACAAAATTATCACGACCACAACAACCGTGAAAATAGTTGGATCGACATTGCTGCTCAGTCACAGCTGCCTGATCAATGTTTTTCATTAGCAATTTAGCAAAGTTGGTGGTGGTGGTGTGTCTGTGTGAGTGTAAGACGGAGAGAGCGAGCGCGACAGATTTTCTGTTATAACCTTCGTTTTATGGACGCACAGTGTGAGCACTCAGGTCGCATCAGAGCATCGGGCGGTATAGTGTGAGACCTGCATCGTGACCTACCAACTGTTAACCCCTGCGAGTCAATCGTGCAGTTTGAGCAGGAGCTGAATAACGCGACTGAAAAAATCGCACAGTGTCTGCCCAGCTTTAGGTTTACTGTCGTCCGAGACTTGCACCGCAGTGTCTGCGTTTGTTTCCCTGTTGGCCATGCTTCTTGTTGTGGTCATTTGTTGTCTTCCGGTATTTTCTCCGTAAGCGACCTTTCCTCGACCAATGAGATGAGTGGTAATCTGAATTGTCATACTCGTAAGTGTGCTGTCAGCTCATTGGTCACAAAGCAGGAGAGGGGCTGGGAATTATGTTTTCAAACAAAGCGTTAATTCCATTAAAAGTTATAGACTACTTTTGATTCTCACTGTATTACGGGACAAAGTGCGTCCCTTATTAGCTCAATACGGGACGTGTACTTTTGTTTCGAAATACGGGACGATTCCGTATTTTAAGGGACGGTTGGCAACCCTACTGCTGGGAGAGTACGTCTGCAAACAGGAGGGGAGGAGTGAGATGAAGAGAAAGGGCGCCACAACAGACCGTGGCAAACGTTTGCTCTAAAACCGTCCCCGCCTGTGCTGCTGGAGGAGCAGCAGCTAAGAGGTGAAGCAGATGCTCACCTTTGTGTCCCAGTTGTAATGATAGCCCAGCGTGACCCAGCGCAGCCTCTCCAGGAGAGTCCGCGCTTCTCGTTTTCCAGCCGGTTACGTTCCCAGTGGACAGCCAATCAGAACTGTCCATTACAGTCGAGACCATTCTACTGAGCTAGACTAAAAACACTTCAGTTCCTGAAACATGGAAAAATGAGACCAACTCTCAGTAACCTGCCTCAGAGCTGGCTTCTCCCTACGCTTTACCTCACAGTACGAGGCGCCGCGAGGCAACTGTCGCTGTTATTTGGTTCTTTACAGCCGGACTGAATTGAACCAGACCGCACGCATTGCACCTCCTCTCCAAACTTTATTTAAACTCTGACGTGCGCGTGTACCTGGGTGTCCTCGCAGGCCAAAGGCTCGCCACTCTCTGACGGGCTGTAATCCGACTCTAGTGGCTTCCACATCGCTCACCGCGGCGGTGTCGAGGTTAACTGGAACAATACACACACACGTTAACTGGAACAATCCACACACAGGTTAACTGGAACAATACACACACACACACACATCATTAGCAGACGTCAGGATTGTAAAATCATTTTCACTCAGGTGCTGTCTGCACCTGTTCTTCAGCAGACCTGAACCAGTCAGGTGACACCCAGTCCACTGTGACGTTAGTCAGGTGGATTCAGGTGATCTGCAGATTCAGACTGTTCGTGTTTGAACTCTGACCCTCACACCTGTCTGCTGCTTCGATCACCTTCTAACTTCCCGCTGTGACACACAGTTATCGGTATGATCGATGAAATGATCGATCCAGGTGAGTTTGATTTACACGAAAACCAGATCAGAAATGAAAGTGGACAGGTGAGGGCAGGTGGAGGTAACCTGTGGAACTGTTCACTTTGTTGGTCAGAGAAGTCAAACTTCAAACTGACCCATGAAAAAGAACAAGGAGAAAGATGGCTGCTAAACGCCGGGAGCGCGCTTTGCTCTCACCTGTTCACCGGGCGCACACCTGGAAAAGTCGATGACGTCGCTAAGGTCCGGCGGGGGGTTCCTTCTCCTGTAAAACTTGAATATCTTCCGAAACGAATCCTCTCCACCCTCCACCATGGAGGCTGCCATCTTAGCCATGACGTCACTGTCTTGCATGCCCTGCTCCGGAAGTAAAAACTAACAAAAATGAAAGAACAAAACAAACAAACAGATATGTAAACAGTTAACAGCGCGAGCGGGGAGAGACTAACTGTAACATGTTTCTATGGCTGTATCCCAATTCAGGTTCTGCAGCCTTAAAGTACGCAGCCTCAACGATCCTCAAGGGCCGCGTACTTAAAGACCGCTAAGGCCGGAAGTGCGAGGCTTGTGAAAATCTTTTGTTCATTTGTTTGTTTGTTTCTACATGAGCTTTGATCATTCTCTGTAAGATTAAGCTCAGCTATTGAACGGCGTATATTTTAAAGTAAAGGCTTTAAAACCAAGTTCGTACAAATGTCACTAATGTCACATAACTTTGCAGACATGTGGCCAACAGTAATGTTTTAATGTTCTTCGTTATTAAACATTTGCACATAAATAAGTGACATAATATTCAGTACTTAAAGTTTACTCTTCGGGCGCCCCTCATCCGCCGTTTTTTTTCGGCAAAATTATCCACACCACCGCCGCGCTATGCATTCTGGGATATGTTGGGCCACGAAGTCTACACTGCCACAGCCTTAAAATTCAGGGAAATGAAGGACGCATTTGAGGCCGCATTTCGAGCAGCCTTTGGATTGGGACAGCCTTCGTTGCGTCGCGGTGACGTAATCGGCCTTAAAATGCGGCCTTTAAGGCTGCAGACCCTGAATTGGGATACAGCCATATACTGACTTGGCCACGTTTAATGTGAACATCCTCACTGGAACAGGAGCTGTGACTATAAGGAGAAACACACTTTAAGAGAACTTGCTCACTTATTTGTCTCCTCCCTCTCAGATCCGGCCCGTGGTGGAGGAGACCTTCAGCTTTTCACAAGTGCCTCAGGCCTTTGAGAAGGTGGAGAAGGGTCACGCCCGAGGAAAGACGGTAGTCCAGATCAGCAAAGGGGGCGACGACGTATAGCTCTGCACATCGTGGGCTTTTCTTATTGAGTGCTGTCAATGCTTTTATAGACTCCGCCCACAAAACCAAAGACACATTGCACTTTATTTTCTATCCAAAGTACATTGTTTACCTTTTCATCAGGTTTGTGTGGCTGTTTCTTTTCCACTGTTTGCTGAGGATCTGAGCAGGTCTCCCTTGAAAAAGAGGTTTTTAATCTCAATGGGATTTTCCCGGTTAAATAAAGGTTAATAATAATAACAACAAGCACTAAAACTGCTGTCAGCTTAAAAAAAAGCTTTTATTTTTCAGTGACTCAAAGGAAACTCTTCACTAAAATAAAGACATCACATTATTACTTTAATGTGTAACAATATTCTCACATTTACAACCAGCAGAGGGCAGCAGAGTTAAACTCAAGGTCTTTACACTCAGTGGTTCTGTACAAACGACAGTGTGTGTGTGTGTGTGTGTGTGTGTGTGTGTGTGTGTGTGTGTGTGTGTGTGTGTGTGTGTGTGTGTGTGTGTGTAAAAACATTAAAAACTTTACAGCGGATCACTTTGATCTACAAACAGCTGGAGTGTAAGAGAAGTACCGTACAGGAAAAGGTGCAGCATTGAAACAGGGCAGAGGTCTCGCTGAAGTAAACAGTCTTTGGGTTAAAGGTCAGCTAAAAACATTTTGTTCATCAACGTGAGCTCGTAATCCAGCGCATCGTCTTTCCAAGCAAACATGACAGCGAACATCGGTGTGGGCTCCACGGCTGAGCTGCGTCTGAGGGCCCAGCGTGACGGAGCTCCGTCAGGAGGCCGTGAGAGTCGTCACAGCAGCTCCAAACTCCACCTCTGGTTCAGCTTTCGCTCATCAAACGTGTTGAGGATCACCTGGTTTTTATCGTACTGATGCCCACCTGGAAACAGACGACACAGCTCGAGTTCAGTCATCACTGCAGCACATGACGCTCACGCGCTCAGATTATTTCAGTCAACTTTTAATTTTTGCGTTTTAGTTTTCTTAAAAAATTAGTTATCACTTTTTAATTAGCTCAACGTAAAATGAACAGCAAAGAAAAAAAAGTAACGTGAACTGAAGGTGTAAAAATAAAGGTGTCTGACCTTTGACCTCCAGGATGAGGTCTGGTTTGAGGTTGCTGTGAACCACACCGTCCGGTCTGATGTTCCACAGCTGGCTATCTTTGCCTCGCTCGGGAGAAACGCAGATACGGCTGCCCGCCATCATCACGCTGCCCGAGGACTCCAGGAAACAGTCCTCAACCACCTGAGGACGCAGAGGAGGAAGTGGTCAGCATTAACAAGGAAACAAGTTCATATTGAAAATGATTAAAATGAACTTGCTGAACATGCTCTACTCTCCCTCTGTAACATGAACCAGCAGGTGGGAAGGGGTGGAGGATAAAGGCTCTTTCAATGGGAGACGCTGAGTTTTTACAAAGTGAGGAAGCAAAAAAGAGAAGAGCCAACAAGTGCAGAACAAAGAGACCCGAAAACATTTGAGACGCACCCTTAAACCCAAAGATTTATAAACAGAAGCAGAAGTAGGACGGATTATCAAACTGAACCCAAGTGCAGGTAAGTACGAGAAATTCAGAATTTAGCACCGAATTAAAAGCCCGAATCTAGCTGTACGTAGTGCTACCGTGGCTGTAGCTCAGGTGGTAGAGCAGGTCTCCTACTAATCTGCACGCCAAACATCCTTGGCATGCGGTCTGGGCAGGATACTAACGCCAAGATACTTCGATTGGAGTCTGAATGTGTGTGAATGTTAGAAGCACTTGCAGGGAATGAGCATGGAAAACGTGCTTGTGTGAATGAGGTTCAGAGTAAATAAGCTCATGTGAGAACCCGTCCATCGCAGGATAAACGCACTGTGCAGCTGTCAGTTTCAGCAGTTTTCGCCGGCGTACCTTGCAGGTGAGATATCCGTCCCGATAGAGCCACACCTGCTCCTCTCCCCCTGACTCCTCCACGGCCTGCACTCTCATCAGCTTGATGTCATCCAGCGTTCCCGTCAGAGACATCATGCATCCCGTCTCCCTGTTCCTCAGGCGGAAGTACATCGGTTTCTGTGTTAGGAGCAACAAGTACAAAATACAGATGTTAGTCACAGTGGACGTCAGGAAGAGATTCACGAAGCATCAGTCTGGCATTCGATGCAAAGACAAACACATTTAACATTTCTACGGAAATAAATAGAAGTCGCTCTCACTTAAAGAGGACCTACTCTGCCTCTCCTGTTCCTGTGGTAGATGTTCATGTTAAACATGACCAAAGTCTCAAATAACACCAATCCAAAAACATCTCAGGTGCTGGCGTTAAATGGGCCAGTCAGGACTTACCTGCAGTAAAGGCCGGAGGGATCCAATCCGCTGAAAGCCGCTATGCTGAAATAAATCAGCCTCTTGGCTTGGTTGGAGGATCAGCTGTCGACCTCTGTAGTTACTGCCCTCATACAACACCCACCTGGAGACAGACGGACATCGTTTTAGCTCGTCAGATTTTATCCATCGTTTCATTCAGTCCACCAAACAAGCCACGAAGCACCGTTTATGGACCTTTCTATGATCCAATCGTGACTGAAAGTTTTAATTAAAGCGCTGAAATAAACACTTTGTGGCAAAAGGGAAAATTTAATGTAAAGCCGGCTGGGGTGTGTAACTACACTAAAACTGGTACAATGCTAACACCTGGTGGTGAAACTTCAAAATTCATGCAAAGCTATAGTTATTAAAATATGTGCAGATATAAAAGCGGTCGATTAAAAGCTGGCAGTAATGGCAATAACTGGGAAATCGGGAAAATCAGCATATCGAGGATATCCGTTTATCATCTGGCTTTTCTTGTCCCACCATTATGGATCAGGCTAAGAGGTCACACGAAGCTGGTTATCAGTTATAATCAGTCTAACACATGCACAGGTCTATTGGCAGCACAGACACAAGCGGTAGTCAGGATAATATCACAATACTGAGGCTTCTAGAAAATTAAGAATATAAAGAAAACCTACAAAAACAGATCTAAATCTACTTTTAGTGAAACAAATCTCAGCTGTTTATTCATCATAAATCCCATTCATTTCAATTAGCTTCACTCTATATTGTCCCCTCATTGTCAGCTCCCTGCAGTGGCTGTATTGCTCCAGCTGGGGGCCCCATCACACAGTTTGAAAGCCTCCAGGTCACAGGAAGTGATGACTTTACATACAAAAGGCTGCTAATAAAATGCGTCCAATTATTTGGATGAAACAAAACATTCACTGGGCTGACTTATAATTCAAGTTCAGTACTTTGTGGTGAACTGCTGAATACTGTTATAAGATAACAATATTTTCATTCACTGTTGCATAATTACGCTTCTATGACCAGGTGTGCAGACACACCTGAAAGGTCCATTCTGAACCAGAACCTGCTGCATATAAAACCTTGGTGCCGATGGCAGGTGTCTGTCACATTTTTAAACCAGCAGAGGCTCAAACGTTCATCTCTGTCACTTACATTCCTCCGTCCACCACCAGGGAGCGTATGCGAGCGTCCAGGCCGGCCTGATGCAGGTTCACAGCTTCGTGTGTCAGCACCACCCTGCGACCTCTGCAGCCCACCTTCGTGAACAGGGCGATGGACGGCAGAGAGAACTCCTGGAGGTGGAGAGCAGAGGGTTGAGTTCACACAGAGCACCACAGAGGGCTGAAGACACGTCCAGGGAGAACAAACACTCACATGTCCTGCAGTCCGGATGGACCGGAAGCTCGAGTCTGAGGACAAGAAGCCCATGGCCTCTGTGCTGGGGTACTCCCCCTCCTCCAGGATGTACATGTTCTCCGTGAACTGGGATCCCTCATGTGCCACCCAGCTGACAACAAATATGCAGTATATTGAATGAAGCCATGCAAAAATGTTACCTCGTGCAGCAGCATTTCTGACCCCTCATGACTTCATAAGTACAGACGATAACCACATGACTTCAATTCTGATAAAAACACATTTGAAGTTCGATAAACTGCAACCAAATCAATTTTCCACCCACTCCAAGAGTCAATCTTTTTTGTTTAACAAACTCTGAGCATTAAAATCAGAAGATAAGAGTTTAATTCCTGACGTTCCTGAGGAACAGAAACAAACATTGTTCTATATGAGAACGTCTTACAGGAGAGTACTCTGAAAAGGACAAAGATTCCCTAAAACAGGCTTGTGGTGGTTGTTTACCTGCCAGCCAGCACCTTACAGGACCTGGGTGTGAAGTCTTCATCCAGAGCTGCTGCGCTGTCCTCCAGACACACCAGCCGTCCCTGGAAGTGCTCCTCAGAGTAGAGCTGGACCTGTAACACATCCAAACAGCCTCAGCGACCCAGCAGCACACACTAACAGAGACTCCTCATCATTTCTGATTGATGCCGAGCTGCACACGAACGAGCGATACCTTGAATTTTGTGGTTCCCATGCTGTCCTGCAGAACAAACAGAGTTGTTAGAGATGCACCTTTTATGACGTTAAGCCTTTGTGTGATTAACGGATGCTGATGGTTTCTTACGTGGAACACGGGCTGTATGGATGCGATCCTGAAGTTCTGAGCTCCCCAGTCCTCCGGGTTTGCGTACATGCCTTTCTCCAGGACGTAGAGTTCTCCGCTGAACCCAGGCTTCTCAAAGGCCACCCACCTGCAACGACAACCAGCTAAGAAATGAAACCACAGCCTCCATGTTTTCATCTGCATCACAAGCTCTGCAGTGAATCCTGTAACCGTGAGAAGCACACGAGCCACGATTTACCCACTCATTACATGGATGAAGTTTATGTTTAGGATACTCTTACAGGGATGTCTGCTGAAACTGGAAACCACCTAACTCCAAGGAAACCAAAATAAAAGCCATTGTTGCTCTAAAATCAAGGAAGTGCTTGCAAACAGCACATCTTCAGGTTTCTCTGAATAATGACTTGAGCTGCAGCATTATCTGTATAAACAGGCCGAGTCTCGTCTCAGAGGCTGTAAAATGACAGGCGAGGCCGTCGCAGAGCTAACAGCAGTGTTGGGCAAACAAATCCAACCAGCTCTGAAAACCAACAAAGAAATCTTCCCTGTAAAAACTAACAGACTTGCTTTAGAGTTTTTTAGCCCTGTATCGCACGAGTTTTGAATATTTAATCAGCGCTGGCCAGTGTTGGTCAAGTTACTTGAAAAAAAGTAATCAGTAACTAATTACTGATTACCTCCCCCCCAAAAGTAATCCCGTTACTTTACTGATTACTTATTTTCAAAAGTAATTAATTACTTAGTTACTTTTTAAAAACACGATTTACAACCTGAATAGGTGATAAAGCGATAGATCTTTCAGCCCAATTCTACTTTTTCTGCATAATCCATCATACAAAATGTAATCAAATGGAAAAGTCTCTTTTTAACTTGTTTCATTAGTTTTAATCTTTTAACTTTATGCATCAAGCAAAAATTTAATTATATGCAACATTCTCTGACTGGAAGAAATTTGTTTAATATTTAAACCTATTTTCTGCACATTCCAGCACATAAAATATTTTTTTTTGTGTTTACACTCAGTCTTTCAAATAGATGCAAGTAAAACACAGCAGAAAATAAATAAAGTCAAAGACTCAGCGGTCCTGTTGCTCTATTTTCACCTGTAAAGCAGGAGTTGGGTAGACGGAGGTTTACCCTGGTGCAGGTGTGCCGCAGCAGTCAGTGGAAGGATATGGCAGCTCTGTGAGTTTCCCATTACGTCGTAGCTACTCGGTGCCTGCTTGGAAGTTTAGGGTGTTTTTTCGCTGTAAAAAGAAGTTTTCTTCCCACGCACGATGGACACTAATGTTTTTGTCACTTTTTATGGAATCAAACTCAAAGTAAGGTCAGTACTTCCACGCTTTAAATGCTGCACGCTCATACTCTCTCCCGTACTTGATATATGATCCACTGTTGATCTGCACACAGCTGTTGTCACTAACGGCGCACTCGCTTACGTCACTGTCGTGAGACATTCTCGCAAAAAAAATCACGGTTTTAGTAACGCAGTAACGCAGCGTTCCTACGGGAAAGTAAAGGTAATCTAATTACCGTTTTTGCAATAGTAATCCCTTACTTTACTCGTTACTTGAAAAAAGTAATTGGATTACAGTAACGCGTTACTTGTAACGCGTTACTGCCCATCTCTGGCGCTGGCACATCTCAACGATCAGCTGGAGAGAAACTGTGGGAGTGGTTTGGGTGAACTGGCCCTTTAAAGTGTTGGAAAAAGAAACCCACAGATATTCATTACTGATTATCAGCACATACCACGCTACTTTTATCTTCAGTTCAATTTGATTCCATTTATTTATGCATCACTAAAGTTATTAAGTTATCACTAGAGTTATTTATGCATCACTAAATCACAACCACAGTCACCTAAAGTGCTTTATACTGTAATCACGAACTCATGAACTCTAAACTTTCACATCCTACGAGTTGCCTCTAACGCCCTCTGATAGTAACTAAACTCTGTTTTTGTAAAGCTCCGCCCTCGGGAAGCTTCCTTTCATCAATTCCATGAATGGATCCGTTTCACAGGCTCGTCCATAATCCATCCTCTGAGGCTGTAGGCGTGTATGTTTGCGTGCGCTGTGATAAAACACTGTAACGTGAGAAGCACACGCCCGAAACCTGAGAGAGAGAACATGAGTTTGAGCTTTGTGTTCATTTCTTTCTTCTTGTGTGTCTGACTTACACTCCACCGGTGACATCGACAGACTGGGTCTTTGCACCGTGGCCGGTCTCCTCCAGGTTGACGACGGGTCCCAGCAGGTTGGTGCTGAGGCTCCGCTCACTGAAGTCCTGCTCGCTGAACAGTTTAACGTGCGGGGACAGGAAGTCCTGACGAAGAAGGCGACACAGACAAAAAGTTTAAAAAAGAGAAATCGCTGCATCAGATGGAAACGCCCTCCAACCAGGAGCCTGCGGGTTAGCGTCTCAGGTGATACGTACTGCGATTACAGGCCGAAGTGACTGCAGCCCATCCTCAGATCCCCCCCAGTGGCTGCAGTGAGGGTACTCCCCCTCCTCCAGGATGTACTGCTGGCCTTCAAAGTCTGCCTCCTGGTAGCCCACCCAGCTTCAACGTTGATACAAAGACACATTACAGACCTTTCCAACTGATATTTGTAGCACGTATAACAGTAAAGCCTTTTAAAGATCCCTGTTTAAAGTGCACTGTGCAGCTTTTCCATGTGTTCGATGTGCAACACAACTGTAACCTGACAAAGTGAGCCAGCTTCTAAGAATGAGACATTTAGGATTTGGAATGATGATGATGCCCCTGATAAATACTCACAGGCCGCCGAGGATCTTCAGAGACCCGACTGCACACAGCGTCTTCTTGTTCACAGCAGGTTCGTCGGATTCTTCGTCCGGCTCTTGTACGTTGTAGATGTCGTTGTGAACCTCTAAACACTCGCCGTCAAAGTTGGGCTTCTCGTACAGTAAGGCCTGCACGACAGACACACAAGCAGGAGTTTTTACCTCTGTGTGTTTTTAGCCCACTCCTGCCTAAAGGTACAATCCCATTCATTCCACAGATTAGTAGTGTAACATATTTCACATCCGTCAGTGGAAACAGGCTAAAGTTCAGGCTGTAGGCTTGGAGCTGTCAGCGTACAAGGAGCTGATGGGGGAAAATGCCTGAGCATGCTCGTTACAGGAGGTCTTTCTTTGGCCTGTTCCTAAAGATATCGCAACTAAATTCGTAGGAAAAGAAATACATTTTGGGGAAACATGATGTGAAGACATCATTGGACTATTTTTTGGTGTTTTTTCATAGCACATTCTCCTTCAACCAACAGCTTCACAGGAATTCAGCCTCATCTCAAACCACAGTGAGATCTGTAACAGGAAATTCATCCTTTTTCCTTTGAATTCTTCCCCAGGCCACTGAATCTGAGCCAAGTCATCAAACATAATGAATCGTGTCAGCCACACATGTCTGGACTGAACTAAGCTCGTCACTTTAGGTCCGACTGAGATTCTCAGAGATTCTCAGGAAACACAGCTGATGTGTGCAGCAGGTATTTACAGATGTGACGTAGAACAGAACAAACCTTGACTTCATTGGGACGCTCCACTTTTATCGGCCCCTGTAATAAAGACGCACTCTATCAGACTCAGGTAACTCGAAGAATTACAGTAAAGTGCAAACGTTCACAGGTCAGCCACAACATTAGAACCACCTGTGCTAACTGAGATTAAACATTGTTCTATGACTAAAATAAACACAGCGATGTTTCTGCTAACAGATGATTTTCTGACCTTTTATGTTTGAAATCAAGTTTGCTTCCTGATGTATCCGACCCTGACACACTCCACTGTAATAAACTTCACCGGTTTTAATGTTGTGGCTGATCAGACTGCATAGCATCATATTGTGTATTTCCTGTACTTTACCATTCGGAGGGGTCGGAGCGAGCCTACGAAGGGCTCAGGGAAGCCCCAGGCCTCCGGGCAGGGATACTCTCCCACCTCCAGCACGCCCATGAACCCTCCAAACCCTGGATCGGTGTACACCAGCCAGCTGCAGACAGACACGAGACGGGGAGGAAAGTTGAGCAGGATTTCAACATTTAAGGGTTACTTTCCTGAAAGAAAACGTTAATCTTTGACACAATGGAGGGAATAATGAGCACTCTCACTACTCCCTCCACCCATCAGGAATCTGCTGCAGTTAACTGGGACAACCACAAGCTCCGGCCTGCTGCCTGCATTCCTTCACACACAGAACTCAGATGGATGATTTCCCATCAAACTTTATCTTTCTGTGCTCTTGAACCTCCACAGCGTTCCTGCTCCGGTTCAGACATCATAACTAATAATGTAAACAAATTAAAACATTCTTTTTCTGGCATTTAATCTCAGATTTGTAATGAGCCTATACCACCAACAACAGCAAATTCCCATTTAAGGACATTTAAGTCTCCACTTACACTCCAGAATGGACCTTAATGGAGCCGGTGGTCTGTGGGATGCCAAAGGAGCTGACCTCTACGGTGTCGTCAAAGTAGGACACCATCCTGCCCAAGCCGTTCACCTCTGAGAACAGGTCAATCTGGGGCATGCTGTAGTCCTATGAAACACACAAAAATAACACTGTGTGAGAGCTTTGACAGTTCATTTCTTTATTTACAATAAGCCTGGAAAACTGAGCTTTTTGAATCAGGTTAAATGAAACCCAACTCACCCTCACTGCCAGTCGAATGGAGCCGATGACCACAGGCGCTGTGGGAATAGGTTCACCTATCTCATCTAGCGTTGCAGGACTTTCCTCCTCTGCCCAGACATTCACGATGCCATCTGTAGGACCTTCTTCCAGAGCTATGATACGGCCCTGGAAACCAGGCTTCTCATACAGGACCCAGCTAAAGAGACACAATCACGTAATTCTACACTTTTCACAGAACAAGCACCAAAGATTTCAGAGGACAGTTCAGTTACATCACCTGGATAAGTTAAAATGTGCTGCTACGTTACAATGGTCAAGTTTGTTTAGGGTTAAATCAAAACGGAGTGTTTTTCCATTAACTATGTCAACGTGTGATCATCACACTGAAGCGTGGATGCATGCTAACGCGTACCATCCTCTGATGACTCTGACTGATATGATGGGGGACAGCTTCATGGTGGTGGCATCTTCTACATCAGAGTAGAGCTCAAAGGCCTCTCCTCCAAACTGAGCATGCTCGTGTATGATGATCTAGATCAAGACAGACATGTCACTGGAATCCATCATTAGAAATTCAATCTATGTTTAGATATACACTGCAGTACCTTTCCAGGTCTTTTGTGGAACCCTCTTACTGCAGGAATCTGCAAGAAGAGTTGGAAAAGATTTAGGTTACAAACTTAAAGCTGAATTTTAAATATTACTTTGAGTGGTCATCTGAACTGAGTGTGTCCTGATGGCCCTGGCCATGTGAGTCGAATGCTTTTTTATTCTAGAACCGTTTTGTCTGTGTGACCTCAGTAAACACGTTGCTGACACCTCTAGTTTTTAGTTTTAAGGCAGTCGTTGGTTTCCACGTCAGGTTTGGGATGGTAGTCCTCCTTATTTTAACCCTGGTTACCCAGGAGTAACCTGCTGTCAGTTACCTGAGTGCTCACACAGCAACTTTAAGTATTAATTCATTACTTTTAGTGAAGTCCCATTCATTTAACAGTTACAATAATACTTTTACCCAAGAGCTTCTTTCTTTCCCTAGTTCAGGTTTTATTTTAGACTTCCTAACAGGAGCAGTGACGTCAACAGAAATAAAAGATGTAAACGTGCTACATTTTTAGCAAGATTAGTGTAAAGTGTACTCTTAGCAGTCTGTTAAAGTTACTGTTAGTTTGGTATTTTAATCATCTGTGCAGTAAATGTTTTTGCCTCATTTTGTTCTACCTTAAAGTCAACAGCAAACATTAATTTGTTTTGATCAGTTTCCAGTGCTCCTGTTTCCTTTCTTGCCCGCGGCAGAGAAACAAACAGTGTGATTATTTAAAGACATTTCTTTTTATAGGTCTGCTTTATTTGCCTGTAGATGCAAATACTTCATCTCAGCCTGGAAGACGAGCCGATCTTGGAAGAAACTTCCTCTGAGAATTCCACATTGAGGACACGTTCATCTTTCCTGTCCTTACTTGTAAATGATTCACAGTTTGGTTGCAAAAGCATCACATAACAGTGTGAAGGTGGGGCGTGTGTGGCCATGGATATAAACTAGGAACTTATGAGTGCTTTGCAGATTTTCTTAGCTGATTAAAACCCATTCAGGCTTTGAGAATCCTTCCTGCTAACAGGCAAAGATATCATTTAAAGTCTCGTGCCTACCTTTGGCTTTGAAGTTGTCTTTTGAAATCCATTTGGAGGGCGCTGCTGGATGTAGTTGGTGATTGGAGGAAGTTCTTCAGGGCTCTTCAGGTTCAGATCCACTTTAGATAGACCTGCTATCAGGTCCTGGTCCATAGCGATGCTCTCCTTTGTATTCTGGTTAGTTTGAATTGTCTGCGCTGTGGAGGTCTCCGTTTCTTTTTTGTTCTTCTTCAGTAATTTCTCTAAATGTTCAGGCAGCTTTATGTCAGAGAACGAGGGCAGCAGCACAAGAGGAGGAGGAGAGGAGGAGCTAAAGACTGACTCACTAACTCTTCCTGTACCACCTCCTGTGACCGGGCTTTGATCGACGCCCGTCCCATCCATGTGTGTGGCCTCAGGCTTTGATGAATCAGCAGCTTCCACGTTTCTGAGTGAGGGCATGCCCTGCTGCTGGTCAGAGGAAGGTGTGCTATTTGAGGCAGAGGAAACTTCCTCTGTACTCTTCCTGGTGGAACGAGTGGTAAGTAAGCTGGAGAGGATGGAAATCTTATTAAGTCTTGATGTAAGCTTCACAGGCTCTTCTCCATTGTCTTGCCCCTCTTTTCCTGCTTCAGCTTTGGCCCCCTCCTGGAGTGCAGATTTACCTTCAACCTCATCAAGTGTTTTTGCTTGCTGTTCAAGAGTGGGTGTGGCATTTTTTTCCAGAGTTTGGCCATTCCTTTGATTTCCCTTTTGTTTAAGAATTGTCGTAGGTAAAAGGTCAATAAAGGTTCGTCCATTTTTCCTTAAGCCAAACTGGAATTCCTCAGGATCGAACGTTTTCTCGAAGTGGTCCTCCTTAATGGCCGGCAAGACAAAATGTGGAGGTTGAGACTTTTTATGAACATGCTTCTTTGGAGGCAGTGCGAAAGGCATCCCACCTTCCTTAATGTTCCTGATAAAATCATCGGCATCAAGAGGGTCATCCACACTAGCGGACGTGTTAAATCTTCTTTTGTGGACCCTTCTCTTCTTCTGATGAGATTCCACATCTAACCAGCTGGAAGGAAAGTCTGCATTTGATTGCAGACTTGGGGATGAAGTGGATGATTTCTCTGCAGTCTGTAGTCCTTTTTTGAAAGCACTACCTAGAACATCTGTTTCTCTTTTTTCTTTTGTGTCTTTGTCCTTCAGGAACACCTCGCTGGAACCAACCGTGGGTGATTCTTTCTTGGCATTCATCTTTGAAGCCTTTAGTTTCTCATCCACTCCAACAACCTCTTTAATGAGGTTTTTCTGTTCCTGTTTGCCAGCTGCTTTTCCAGCCATGGAAACACTTGATGTTACAGTTAATTCAGGATCTTTAGTTGTTTTCTTCAGATCCTTTGTTGCTACAGCCTTTGATTCCGGTTCCTGGTTAGTACCTGGAGCTGTGTGAGGTTCAGTAATTGTCTCTGGTTTCTTTATTTGCACAACTTTGACAGGTGTGCTCTTCTGGTCCTTTTGACTGCTAATTTCATTGTTAGCCTTTTCATTTTCCAAACTTTCTGCTGATGAGATCTTGGAGTCAGGACTCCCTTTATTTTCCACAGAACCCTGAGTTTTGCTTTCCATGTCATCTGTAGATTCTGTCTTTGCAGTCTCTGGTCCCTGTTGTAGACCAGGTTGTGGACATTTGGATTCTGTTGAATTATTCAGTTCTGGTTTTGTCATGTCTGCATTCTGCTTGTCGCTAACTTTAGTTGCCACCTCACTCACCAGGCTCTCTGCTAATGAATCCTTGGTTTCAGGAGCCTGGACCTGCTGTTTGCTAACATCATTATCAGCATTTGCAGTTGTCGCAACTTTGACTTCGGTTTTTTCATTGGCACCTTCAGTACTAGAGCCACCTGAGGTCAGTTCTTGGGTTGCGTCTGTATTTTGGATCTCTGTTGTCTTAACCTGAACTTGTGCTCTGACCGTCTCTGGTTTCTGTTCAGATTCATGAAGTTTAGATTCTGTCAGTTCTTTCTGGTCTTGGACTTCAGCCTTTACAGGTTGGATTCCAGCATCACTATGAGTCTGCAAAGTTTCTTTCTCACTCACGAGGCTCTCTGCTGATGAATCCTTGGTGTCACCTTTCTCTTCAGCTTCATCAGCATCCTTTAGGTCCTGATTTTGACTTTCTGCTGCCTCCTGCAGAGATTCTGCTTTTAGAGCAGATGTTGGACTTGTGGATTCTGCTGATTTGTCACCCTCTTTTTTTGTTATGCTCCCATCTTGATTGTTAACGGTTACAGGAGCCTGGATCTGCTGGTTGCTAACATCATTATCAGCATTTGCAGTTGTCGCAACTTTGACTTCGGTTTTTTCATTGGCACCTTCAGTACTAGAGCCACCTGAGGTCAGTTCTTGGGTTGCATCTGTATTTGGGATCTCTGTTGTCTTAACCCGAACTTGTGCTCTGACCGTCTCTGGTTTCTGTTCAGATTCATAAAGTTTAGATTCAGTCAGCTCTTTTTGGTCTTGGACTTCAGCCTTTACAGGTTTCAAGTCCTGTTGGATTCCAGCATCACTATGAGTCTGCAAAGCCGCTGTCTTATTTACTGAGCTTTCTGCAAATGAATTCTTTTTAGCTCCATCAGCATCCTTTAGGCCTCTAATTTGGCTTTCTGTTGCTTCCTGTGGAGATTCTGATTTTAGAACAGATGCTTGACTCGTGGATTCTGCTGATTTGTCACCCTCTTGTTTTGTTATGCTCCCATCTTGGTCGTTAACGGTTACAGGAGCCTGGACCTGCTGGTTGCTAACATCATTATCAGCATTTGCAGTTGATGCAACTTTGACTTCAGTCTTTTCATTGGCACCTTCAGCACTAGAGCCACCCGAGGTCAGTTCGTGGGTTGCATCTGTATTTTGGATCTCTGTCTTCTGCTGACTTTCAGCTCTGACTGTCTCTGGTTTTTGTTTAACTTCATGATCTTGAATTTCAGATGTGGTTGAGCTCGTTTCCTCTACAGGCTTCAAATCCTGTTGGATTCCAGCATCACTATGAGTCTGCAAAGTTTCTTTCTCACTCACGAGGCTCTCTGCTGATGAATCCTTGGTGTCACCTTTCTCTTCAGCTCCATCAGCATTCTTTAGGTCTTGATTTTGACTTTCTGCTGCCTCCTGCAGAGATTCTGCTTTTAGAGCAGATGTTGGACTTGTGGATTCTGCTGATTTGTCACTCTCTTGTTTCGTTATGCTCCCATCTTGGTTGCTAACAGTTACAGGAGCCTGGACCTGCTGTTTGCTAACATCATTATTAGCATTTGCAGTTGTCGCAACTTTGACTTCAGTTTTTTCATTGGCACCTTCAGAGCCACCCGAGGTCAGTTCTTGGGTTGCGTCTGTATTTGGGATCTCTGTTGTCTTAACCTGAACTTCTGCTCCGACCGTCTCTGGTTTCTGTTCAGATTCATGAAGTTTAGATTCGGTCAGCTCTTTTTGGTCTTGGACTTCAGCCTTTACAGGTTTCAAGTCCTGTTGGATTCCAGCATCACTATGAGTCTGCAAAGCCGCCGTCTTATTTACTGAGCTTTCTGCAAATGAATCCTTGGTGTCACCTTTCTCTTCAGCTTCATCAGCATCCTTTAGGTCTTGATTTTGCCTTTCTGCTGCCTCCTGCAGAGATTCTGCTTTTAGAGCAGATGTTGGACTTGTGGATTCTGCTGATTTGTCACTCTCTTGTTTCGTTATGCTCCCATCTTGGTTGTTAACGGTTACAGGAGCCTGGACCTGCTGTTTACTAACATCATTATCAGCATTTGCAGTTGATGCAACTTTGACTTCAGTCTTTTCATTGGCACCTTCAGAGCCACCTGAGGTCAGTTCTTGGGTTGCGTCTGTATTTTGGATCTCTGTTGTTTTAACCTCAACTTGTCCTCTGACCGTCTCTGGTTTCTGTTCAGATTCATAAAGTTTAGATTCGGTCAGTTCCTCTTTGTTGTCAACTTCAACCTTTACAGACTTCAGGTCCTGTTGGATTCCAGCATCACTGTTAGTACCCAAAGTTCTTGGCTTGTTCACCAAGCTTTCTGCTGATGAATCCTCGGTCTCATTCTTGTCTTTAGGTTCCACACAGACAGCCTTTAGGTCTTGAATCTGGATTTCTGCCTGCACGACAGACTCTGGTTGTACTATTCCCACTCGCTTTTTCAGACCAGATTTTAGACCAGATTTGTTACCATCCTTGTTTTCTGTCTTTTCTTTGGTTTTTGAACCTGTTGATTGGTTAATCTCTGGTTTGGTAACATTTCCATCTTGGTCAGTCTGTTGTTTGCTAACACTATTAGCATTCATATTAGCATTCATATCGCCCATCTCCTTTTTCAGGCTTTCTACTGATGAATCACGGACTTCTGTCTTTTCTCTGGTACCTTCTGTACTAGTGTTTACTGAGATCAGTTCTTGAACTATCACCTTTTCTTGGCTCTCCAATGTCTTCTCTTGAAGTGATTTTTCTTGGGCTGGTTTTGTTATACTTTCACCTCGAAGTTCAACTTCATTATCTGCAGTCACTGCATCATTCCCCAGACTGTCCACTGACAGGTCACTGGTTTTGGTTTTTTCTTTGGTGTCTTCAGTACTTAGAGAAGTCTGGTCTTGAATAACATCCATATTCCGGCTCTTCAGCATCTTCTCCTGACCTCCAGTTTTTACCATTTCTGGTTTCTGGTCTAATTTATCATCTGGATCTTTGACTGGTTTTGTTGTGTCCTTATCCAGGTCTCCAACAATTATGGACTTTTGGTCTTCCTGGATGTTAGATTTAATGTCAGCATTCACAGCTTCAGTCACACTCACCAAGCTATGCATTGACAAATCCTCTGTAGCTTCAGTGCTGGCAGCTTTTACTTCTTTAGTTGTATCTGATTTTAAAATATGTTTTTCTGATGTCTTCTTTGAGCCTTTCACCTCTGCAAGGTCCTGATTTAGATTAGCCTTTGTTGTAATGTCCTCACCTTGGTCTTTAGCAGCGGCCGCCTTCTTGTTTTCTTGAGCCACGTTCAATAAAGTCTTCTTTTCTTTATCAGCTTCAGCATCGAACGTGTTCATGTCGTTTACTTCTGGAGTTCGTTTTTCTTTTACATCTCTGTCATGTTTGTCGTCCAGACTTGTGTATTCACCTCCGACTTCCTCATTTTTTGTCAGAAGCAGTTTGGATTCATTTTTCACTTCTGATGCTTTTGTTTTCTCACCGCTGCTCTCGGTGTTTTCTTTCAAAGACATCTCAGGCTGCTGTTTTGTAGTTTCATGGAGTATTGCTCGCTCCTCCCTCGTTTGTTCTTTCAGAGCGTTTGTAATCCCTGTCTGTGTTTCTTCCTTGGATTCAGCTGATAAACCTCTGTCCTCTGATGACAGATGTGCTGATTTCTCTGAATTTCTTATGGCTCTCTCTGCGGTTATGCCCTTGAGCGCCTCTTTGCAACTATTCTGTGACTCAGTGCTTTCCACTGCTGTGTCACTGAGCGTTTCATTTGGTTTTGAGCCTTTCCCTTCAGATCCTCCTGCGAGTAAAAGAACCTCTTTGTGCAACTGATTTTCAACATTCTTGGACAATTCACCAACAGTCACAGCCTCTGTTTGAATGCCCAACCTCTCTGCTGGTTTCCTGCCACCCTCCTCTTTGCTTTTCTCCTCTACTTCAACATCTTTTGCTAAGGCCCTGTTTAATGTCAGGGACGTGTCCCTATCGTTTGTTAATTGATCCTCCCTTGATAAATCCTTTTGCTGCTCTGTATTGGCTGGTTTAGACTGATCTGAGTCATCCTTTGACATCAGTTTAGCAGGAAAACTGCTGCTGTTTATCTTTTGCTTGGAAGTGAATGCTTTTATTTTATTACCAGGAATACGTCCACGTATCTCCCTTTGAACGCTGTCACCCTCAGCGGGTTTGCTTAGCATGTCAGCTTCATCCTCAGGAGCTTGTTTTGTGTCGTGAGTTCGTGGTGCCGTGTTTTTATTTATGTTTCCTGTTAGCTTCAGTGTTTTCAGTGACGGGGATTTCGGTTCTCGTGTTGTGTTTTTATTTTGAATAACAGACACGTTTTCCGCTCGAGTTCCATCAGTAACTTGAGACTGAATTGCTTTGTCGATCTCGCAGCTCGACTGCACCTCGGCTCCTGTGTCCGGAGCACTTTCTGTAATAACTGCGTCGCTGTTTTGCAACCACTGGATGTTTGAAATGTCTTCAGTTGCTGTACTGGTTCCGATCTCTTTTTCTTTCACTTTGGTTTCATCGGTGTGTTTTATAATACATTCCTCTCCCTCCGACTTGAATTTAAATACGTCTTTACTGTCACGCTCATTCGCCGTGACGCTTTCAGGTGCTTTTACATCCGTCTCTGTCGATGTGTTGTGATTTGAGTCCTCAGAATTCCCACTTTGGGAACGTTGTCTGGGTTTTAGTTTATTGGAGCTTCTCTGGCCTCTTGTGGGAAGTTTGCTCACAGACGACGAAGTCTCAGGGGAATCTTTTGCAGGCATTTTTTGGTGCTGTTTGATGTTTTCGTTCCATTTAAAGATCCTTGATGAGACGGTTTTCTCTTGTTTGGTGGGAGGTGGAGAGATGCTGGAGGTCGGAGTATCGCTCTCACCATGGATTCTTTTAGAAAAGGTTTTGGGTGGTTTCACTGGTGGGACATTTCCTGCTGGGAAAAACAAAAAACACAGACAGACAGGAAATTATGGATCTTATGATGGAGCAGAGACACCGCCAAAATAAAAAATAAACAGGTTAAAATATTAGGAGTAAATACCAGTAACTGTATCACAGCTTTACAGTGATATTTTTAACACAAAAATAACTTTGTAATTTCAGGAACAGGTGGGACAGGATAATGGAAAACTGTGTGTAATACATGCATGTCTATTATTAACTTTATATGTTTTATTTGATTGCATTTTATTGGCAATTATTCCATATTTAGGCAACTGTTTTTCAGATAATAATAATAACCTAAATATTTGGTTTTTCTGCAGAAACATCTGCAAACCAGATGTTTGTCCAGATCCAACAGATGAAAAACAGTCTGTATTTTCATCAAGATCTCTGTATGAAACCCCGCTTGTTCATTTTAGTTGCCCCTGGGTTTCATATGTCCTCCTTCACCGCCCCCCCTCATGTCGCCTGGTCCGACATGCTATTCGAGCTTTCTTACCTTTCTTTGGACTTTCGGGTAGCGGTGGCGGCGTCTCACTCCCAGGACTCTCGTCAGCTGTTGCATCTTTCTGCTCTCGACTTGTCTTCTGGACTGTTTTAGGTCTGTCCGAGTCCATCTGACCCGATGAAACCCTTCTATGGGTTATATCAACCTTCTTTCTCGTCGGAGATGAAACGGGCAGCCGGCTCTCCACATCGTTCTGCTGCTGTGTTTTTTTGACGTCCGGACTTTCCCCATGTGGTGGGTGTCCACTTTTACCGCTTCTCTCCTCATTTTCCACGTCATTTAGCAAGTTCACAGACTCAAAGTCCTCATCTGATTTGTCCTTACTGAGTTTTGTTCCGGTCCTAGTTTTCGTGGGAGAAATGTTCCCCGACACCGATTTTCCTCCTTTGGTTTCCTCAAAGCTTGGTTTCCTTCCAGGTCTGGCTGCAGTTGTTGGAGATTTCAGAGTCTCTTTGGTCCTAGGTTGTTTTTGTAGTTTGGGCCCTGAGGTGTCCGGCGCCGATGTCTTATCTGGTGTCACTGATTTCACGTCTGCGTCTGATGTTGATCTTTTGGGGATTTTAGACTTTGAACCCGCAGCACCGGAGGGAGCGCGGGTTTGGTCTTTTAATGCTGGCAACAAAGTTTCCACTTTTGTGCCCTCTGTGGAGCCCTTTGCCTTTGTTGGGACATTCTTGGCCTTGTTTCCAGCTGCAGAGGTCGGGGTCTTTGTTCCACTCGCCGTGGTATGTCGGCTTTCTGCTGCTCCTATAACTCCTCGTTTCTGGGCTGCAGCCTGGTCGGCTGCTTGGCCTCTCGCCGCCGATTCTGCAGCTGCTGGCTTCTTTTTGTACATGTCTGACGCTGCAGAAGTGTCATCGAAGTCTGAGGCCTCCAAGTCTGTTTTACCTTTAACTATGGCTTCCGGAGTAATTGCCTCAGAGGGTGAAGACTCTCCTTCTCGTGTGGGCCGATCGAGGGTTGTGTCCTTAAAATCAGCATCGTTGTTGTTTTGGAGGATCAGCCGTCTGTCAGAAAACACAGAAAACATTTAATGACAGCTGTAGACACAGTTTATGTATCCACACAAGTAGATAGATCCTACGCTGTGAAAACCACCGAGTGTTATAGCAAAATAGATTCTGGCTTTGTAATACTTTGTTGCATAAATGATAAAAAAAAAAAATGTTTGAAAAATAATTAAATGCAGCATATTTAGACCATCAGTTGTGCCTTTGGAGGCCATTAAGATAAATTTATGGCTAAAAATCCAGAGAAGGAAAAGATATCCTGGATATTACAGCCCCCCGGTGAAGTCACTGTTACAACTTGAATCCTCAGGGTCCTCAGATAGCTAATGCTAGCACTATTACAGTGAAGCACGAGTCCAAAGGAGAGTTTACTGCCAACTGGCTCTAAATCCACAGATCCAACGAGCTGCTGACGCAACAGACATGAGAAAGAACAAAGCAGCCATGAAGCAGAGAAAAGAAAAACAGCCAAAATTACAGCAACACAAGACGAGGACAAAGGAAGACCTGGAGCTGAGCTCACAAGCCCTTCTCCCCTCCCAGAGTGGGTAAATCCACCTGACTGTCCAATACATGGATGGAATTTCTGAGCCTCTGCCTGACTGAGCTTCCACTTTTAAGACAGCAAATAAGAAAACTACTTTTAAAACTCTGTGTTGTCCTTAAAATTATAAATCAGACGCTTAGCAGGGAGATTTCGTCCGAACATCAGAGCAGCAGCTGTAAATGCCAAAGGTTTTCCTCAGTTTACACCTGCACAACACGACCAAAGGGAAAAACTGCATCTGCGAGTCTTCATGTGAAAGGTCACATGTTGTAGTGTTTTCTGACCTGATTAAGTTCAAATATCGCTCAAACATTTTGTGTCTCTTTTCTAATCATGCCATAAAAATGCTTCACACATGCAGTTTCCACTTTTCTCCTGCACGATGACGGTAAACCTGGATGAACTGTGCCGTCTGTAAAACCACCTGCAGAATCAACCGTGTGTAGAAACTTTAAGCACTCCTCCCGAGGCTGAGCGTTTCCACGGCATCCTGAGGTCAAACATGAGACCTGCTGGTTGTAATGACTAACTGGAGGTAGTGAACGAACACGAACAGCTGACCTACATTTGATAAATCTAGTAAAGTGTCAGAAGCTTAAAGAAGGTGTTTCTGAGTGGCTGGATGTTGGGTGGATGAATATTTCAGCGCCTCCCTGCAGGTTTTAGCCCCATTGTTCAGCCCTGGCACAAAGCACCATGGGAACTCGGAGCTCGGGTTGCATGCAGGCTGAGCTCTGTTTCTCTGGATCAAAGAGGCTGTAAAAGCAGAGGAAAATGAAAACAGACAGACACTCACGGTTTCGCCTCTGTTGTGTTTGAGCTCTTTGAAGTTGAGCCTTTGTGCACCTCGGCAACAGCTTTGCTCTTCGAAGGCAGACTCACAGTCCTGCGTGTGACCCGGCTTGATCTTGTCCGGTGTCGCTCCTGAACCGGAGGAGAACTCCTTGTTGAGTCTGTGTCCGGCCCCTCCGGCTGCTCCGTGGGGGTCTGAACCTCCCCCACAGTCTGTGACAGGGAGGAGAGTGAATGTGGCAGGCTGCCACTGAGCGGAGGAGTCTCTGAGGGGGTGGGAGGGCTCTCTGGTGCGCCCTCATTCTCTGAGTCGCCCTCTGGAATTACTGTGGCAGGTACGGCCAAAAGAGGAGGCGAGTCTGCTCTAAAGCCCTCCTCCTTTTTCATTACATCCCTTTCTTTCTCCCACTCCACCTCCTCCTCTCCCAGGTGTGTCTCCACCCATATGGCTTTGTGGAACAAGACAGGAGACTTGCCTCGGGGTTTTTCCTCTCTCGTGGTTGCACTTTCTCCCGACAGGCTGCTGGTGGATATTCGAGTGCTCGTCCTGGGTCCTCCTGAGTTTTCCCTCTTCCGGTCCGGAGGCTTTCCCTCCTGTTTGAACAAAGTTATTCCTCTCAGCGCCGTGCTGTGGCCCTTCTCTCCAACCTTCACCGATGCTTTCTTTGATGCTAAGCTTATGGAGGTTAGGTTAGGAGACTTTGGGGACTCCACAGCCTTGGAAAGTGGGATCTGAAGTGACGTCAGTGTGGTCGGGCTGATGATATCATCCTCACTGCTGCTCTCTGGTCTCTTCAGTACTTTTTGTTCCAAATTCACCTGCAGCCGTTTGCTCACTTCCTCCACCACGGATTCAGCGAAGCCCACTTCTGACTTCAAACCGAGATCTGGATCTGGCTCGGTGGCAGATGCAGGGTCTCTGGAAGTCATGATTGCATCCAGCTCCTTCACGCTGCTTCTCCCGGTGCTGTTACTGTCTGCAAACGGCAAGTCCGCCTCTACTGTGACCTGCGAGGCCCTGCTGGAGGCGCTCCGGCTGGAGCTCTGGCTCACAGTGTCGCTGTGCTCAGCATTTAACCCATTTTCTGGCTCAGATTGGGCCGAACGTGGAGACAAGGGGGATGCCGGGGAGCTGTCGGTGGAGGTGCTCGAATGATTCCGGCTGCTGCTCTTCTTCCTCTTGGAGCTGAAGAAGTTGGTGAGACGGCCGAACACTGATTTCTTCTCCTCCGAACTCTAAAAAGAAAAGAGGACAGGCAGGAAAGATGAACACTGAGATGTAAGACTGCATTAAGAATGAAATGTGCACAAAAACAACCTGGTGTACTTCCTCTGAGGTTGAGCTGCATCGTGCGCTCTGCCTGTCCTGGACTCCTTGAAACACAAATACAGTCTGGGCCTAAAGTTATCCCACCACCATCACCTCATTTTTCCTTTTCATCTATTTTTATACATTTGAATCATTTTTGAAGTTCAAGGAAATCCCCTGAAAACAGATCCTGTTATATAATCAGAGCCAAGAACAAGAAAGAAGAGTCTGCAGGTTATTTGGCTCCAAGTAAAAACTGAAGCTTTAAATGTTTGTCGATCCTCGTCAGGCAAACTGAGAAGACGAGAAGGAGCGAGTGTTTGTCAGAAGCTCCAACTAATCCAAATCACTGCTGAGCAGCAGGAACTGCAACATGGCAGCCAGAGAGGAGGCGGCGACGGGGAAACATCATCAAAAACAAACAGCAGCCATTCATTGGAAATAAATGTAAAGTAACTGTCGCAGCAGGATTAACAGTAACAGACTGAGTTTGATATTTCTGCAGAAGCACTGAACAGATAATTACGCTCTGAGCTTTTGACTTTCTCTACATGATTACATGCAATTAGACTTTAAATGTATTTCTGTATTTTTTTCCCTGTGAGAAGACTGATGGATGTGTTTGTTCATACGGTGTGTTTATAAAAATCGAACAGCCGATTCTTTCATCCTGATGCTTTAATAAGTGAAAATCAGACTTGGATTCATCTCTCAGTCGAGCTGAGACGAGACGAGCCGGCTTTTCTGTAGAAATGAAAACTGGCAGGTGCCTTCATCGACATGCCTTTGAGTCACAGACGAGAATACCTGAAAGATTTTCTAGATAAATATTCTTCCTCAGTCAGAAACGCAAATCGTTGGAATTTACCTTCCTTTAAAAGGTGCGACTGCAATCAATAAGAGTTCTTTCAATTTCAGCTGAAAACATGTTTTATAATTTGGACAGAATATGATCCTGATACACAGACGCAGGTAAAAACAGATCTTTCATAAACTAACTGGTTTTAAGCAGCCAGTTATCCCACATGAGCTTTGAAGGTTTGCCCAAAATGTAGAAACTTTTCAGATTTGGTTGATCTTATCAGCTTCATTTACTCACAAACACATGGATGGACTGGCTGAGTGACTCTGAACAGGAACAGCTCTCTGTGTAATGTGAGGTAAGCTGTACAGTCAGCACGGCCACACTGTGAACACAAGCTCTTATAACAGCTTATCGTTACCTCACTTTCATTTTTCACTCATACTCATGTTTAAAACAGCATTTTGTTACATTTTAACCACCTGAGCTCCTTTACTTTGGATATTTGTTCTATTTTGAGCTTATTTACTTTGCTTATACCAAAAGTTGGGAAATACAGGAAGGTCAAACAAAAGCAGAAGCATTGTTAAAGCAAACCCTCTCTTAAAATCTTTATTCTCTCTTATTATGAAATATTTTTCACCATTTTTTGTGTAAAGAGTGAAAAGCTGAACTAAACGCAGACACCCTGCAGTGAATGACACGCAGCAGTAAAACTGAATGACTAACTAAGACACAAACACTTTCATTCCCACAGCTCACAGATTCAAACGGCTCAGAACAAACCCGGAAAACAAACATGGAATATCGGAGCAGGTGGAAGAACAGCAGAGACGTCCACAGTCCAGTTTGAAGCCCGGATGCTCATAATGCACGCACTGCAAAACTAAAGCTGGCAGTTGTCACAAAAAACAAAGAGCACATGTTAGAACAAGAAGCAGGAGCCACAGCAGCTACGCACCATCCTGACTTCCTGGAGTCCAAACTGCAGAAATCCAAGTTCTGTGTCAAAGTTAGTCCCCAAAATCACACAAAACTGCGCCGAGAACCGACGACTAATCACACCTTGTAGAAGAATTCAAACTCTTAAAGCTTCCTCCTCCTCGGGCAGAACTGACTGCCTCTACCTGAGCGTGTCACGGCTCTGAGACGTGGGCTTTGCCTCCTACATCACAGACAGTGTGTGAAAAAAAAAAACAATATTGTGAAAGCCAGCTGGAATTCTCAATCCAGTAAAAATGAGAGGGTGTGGAAGAGGCTGGCGCAGAGCAGCACACCCTTCCTCATTCTAAAGCGTGCGTGTGAATGGGACGCCTGTTATCTGCTGCCGGCTTCACGAACAGATCATTTAGGTCTCAGTGTCGTGTAGAGGAACCACACGGCTGTGACAGAGGAGCATTTCTCTGGGAGACAAACCCATTTCAACACCCTCACTCTGCTTTCCAGCATTTCCATATTTTCACTGAGCAAACAGCAGCTGAGGCCGCCTCAGGCTCAGTTTTTCCAGTTCATATCCAAACAGAAACAAACCACGGAAAACAAAGTGGAAGTGCGGCTACTTTACCTACTTTAAGGGCCTGAAATCCAGAGTGTGTCGAAACCCGGAGGGATTACTCTCCTTCCACCTTTGCCCGCCATGTATTAGTCCACCAACCGCTGCCCTTCTGTTTACCCAAAGCAGGGACAAATGTCAGGTAGGTGGGGACTGAGCTCCATATCAGTGTGAATTATGCCCCACGTCCTTATCTCTTAGACTGTAATAAAAACACGCGGGAAAGATAACGGAGATCAAAATGAAAGAGCGCAGGACGCCTGAGCTTCAGCTTTTACACACGAGCTAATTAAAGCTTCTTATAGTTAGAAATGAACTGCAATCGTTTCACACACTACATATGAAAAGCCTTATAAATATACATTATACTGTATATTAATGAAGGCATTTATTTTATATGAATCTTATGCATTTAACCCAACGTCATTTATTTACCGAGGGGTTTTATTGTTAGAAATTTTGGCATTTTATGTCTCCCATAGGTTTTGGTCCTCCCACAGACACAAATAGCACAGGAGGACGGGTTTGGCAGGGTTCTGTTTATGGGAAGTAGCTCCGGGCCAATAGGATCCAACAGGATTATATGCATGTCATTTTAAAGGAGAAGCACATTGTTACAGTAACTGTTTTTAAAAACTATGTCCACAAACAACATTCTTCATATTCTTTAAGTCTGTAATAAAATATTTGTCCGGACTGACATCAGGAAAATGATCTATGGAGGAACAAAGTCCCAAATGAACGAATGTGTCATTAAACGCAACAACACCTAATAAGTCACAATCAGAGCTGAGTAATATCTGCATTTATTTGATGATTTTAGCATTTTTGGTCTTCCACAGTAATGAACACATATCCAACTGTGTTTTTGTCACTTCCTGTTTGACTCTATACGACTTGAAAGCAGCTGAGAACATGAAGTCATCAGTTTACTGAGCGCAGAGATCAGAGGGTGTAACACCAGGTCAGATTAATGGCGTCAAGGTTAAACTCAGAGTTGCTACCTGGCTTAATCACCATGGTAACTGATACTGAACACATCACTAAGTCGGGAGCAGGCTATGATCAGGATTTTAAAATTGGACTTCCACAGATTCTTTTATTTACAGCATGTTTGAAGTTTGATATAGATCATCTGGTGTGTGTGTGTGTGTGTGTGTGTGTGTGTGTGTGTGTGTGAGAGAGATGTTAGGCCGTAAACAACCGCTGAGTGTGCATGTGCAGAAGTCTGAATGTTATTATGCTGGAAACACAGTCACTGTTTGTTTTACCTGAAACAAACAGCAGTGACTGTTGCTTTACATGGATCCAGTCTCACAGCTGTAAGCTTCACCTGTCACCAATAAACAGCAGCACTGAGCGCGCTCAGACATAAATTCATCCGCTTGAATGTAAATGCTTATTTTACTGCTGCGAGCACGAAATCAGCAGATTAATGATTTTCTGCAACATTCATCTCTCAGTGTTTTATTTTACCGTTTGATCTTCTCTGTTCTTTAAACGTTTTTGTGACTTTTAATCATCATCTTTTCATCATCACCATCTGCATATGTCTCTGATTGGAGTAAAGCAGCATTTTGTGCAGGACAAAGGTCACGTGACCCACAAGCGTGCATAGATCCTGAATCTGCAAGCCCGGCGTAACAGAGAACGTTAATAACCATCGTGGTATCGAGATCATCTCAGACTCGGAGGCTTTGTTGATCCAGTTTTGTGAACTTTCTTGGTTGTGTATCTCTGATGAGCTGCAAGCTTTCGGTTCAGTCCTAAATCAACATCTCTGAGAAGTTGAGAGACTCCTCGTCCTCTGAGACCACAGCGTCCATCTTTGTCGTGATGTTCATCTATCGTCCACCTGGGCCTTACACAGAGTTTCTGTCTGATTTCTCAGACTTTTTATCTGATTTAGTTCTCAGCTCAGATAAAATAATTATTGTGGGTGATTTTAACATCCATGTAGATGCTAAAAATGACAGCCTCAACATGGCATTTAATCTGTTATTAGACTCAATTGGTTTCTCTCAAAATGTAAAAGAACCCACCCACCACTTTAATCACACTCTAGATCTTGTTTTAACATATGGCATAGAAACTGAACATTTAACTGTGTTTCCTGAAAACCCTCTCCTGTCTGATCATTTCCTGATAACATTTACATTTACAATATTGATTACACAGCAGTGAAGAGTAGACTTTATCACAGTAGATGTCTTTCTGAAAGCGCTGTAACTAAGTTTAAGAATATAATCCACCCACTGTTATCATCTTCAATGCCCTGTACCAACACAGAGCAGAGCAGCTATCTGAACACTACTCCAACAGAGGTCGATCATCTTGTTAATAATTTCACCTCCTCACTATGTACGACTCTGGATACTGTAGCTCCTGTGAAAACTAAGGTCTCTAATCAGAAGTACCTGACTCCATGGTATAATTCTCAAACACGTACCCTAAAGCAGATGACTCGTAATCTGGAGAGGAAATGGCGTGTCACAAATTTAGAGGATCATCATTTAGCCTGGAGAAATAGTTTGCTGCTTTATAAGAAAGCCCTCCGCAAAGCCAGAACATCTTACTATTCATCACTGATTGAAGAAAATAAGAACAACCCCAGGTTTCTCTTCAGCACTGTAGCCAGGCTGACAAAAAGTCAGAGCTCTTTTGAGCCAACCATCCCTTTAAAGTTAAGTAATGACTTCATGAACTTCTTCACAAATAAAATTTTTATCATTAGAGAAAAAATTACCAGTAATCATCCCACAGATGTAATATTATCTGCAGCTACTCTTAGTACCATCGATGTTAAGTTAGACTCTTTTTCTCCAATTGATCTTTCTGAGTTAACTTCAATAATTACTTCCTCCAAACCATCAACGTTCGATACTGTCGACCATAATATCCTATTAGAGCGATTAGAACATGCTGTAGGTATTACAGGTACTGCACTGCAGTGGTTTGTATCATATCTATCTAATAGACTCCAATTTGTTCATGTAAATGGAGAGTCCTCTTCACACACTGAGGTTAATTATGGAGTTCCACAGGGTTCAGTGCTAGGACCAATTCTGTTTACATTATACATGCTTCCCTTAGGCAGCATCATTAGAAGACATAGCATACATTTACACTGCTATGCAGATGACACCCAGCTCTATCTACCCATGAAGCCAGATAACACACACCAATTAGTTAAACTGCAGGAATGTCTTAAAGACATAAAGACCTGGATGGCCGCTAACTTTCTGCTTCTTAATTCAGATTAAACTGAGGTTATTGTACTCGGCCCTGAAAAGCTTAGAAATATGGTATCTAACCAGATTCTTACTCTGGATGGCATTACCTTGGCCTCCAGTAATGCTGTGAGGAACCTTGGAGTCATTTTTGACCAGGACATGTCCTTCAACGCACATATTAAACAAATATGTAAGACTGCGTTCTTCCATTTGCGCAACATCTCTAAAATTAGAAATATCCTGTCTCAGAGTGACGCTGAAAAACTAGTTCATGCATTTATTACTTCCAGGCTGGACGACTGTAATTCATTATTATCAGGATGTCCAAAAACTCACTGAAAAGCCTTCAGCTAATCCAAAATGCTGCAGCAAGAGTGCTGACAGGGACTAGAAAGAGAGAGCATATTTCTCCTGTTTTGGCTTCCCTTCATTGGCTTCCTGTTAAATCCAGAATTGAATTCAAAATCCTGCTCCTCACATACAAGGTCTTAAATAATCAGGCCCCATCTTATCTTAATGACCTTGTAGTACCATATCACCCTATTAGAGCACTTCGCTCTCGCTCTGCAGGCTTACTTGTTGTTCCTAGAGTATTTAAAAGTAGAATGGGAGGGAGAGCCTTCAGTTTTCAGGCCCATCTTCTGTGGAACCAGCTTCCAGTTTGGATTTAGGAGACAGACACTATCTCTACTTTAAGATTAGGCTTCAAACTTTCCTTTTTGCTAAAGCATATAGTTAGGGCTGGACCAGGTGACCCTGAATCCTCCCTTAGTTATGCTGCAATAGACGTAGGCTGCCGGGGATTCCCATGATGCATTGAGTTTTTCCTTTCCAGTCACCTTTTCACTCACTATGTGTTAATAGACCTCTCTGCATTGAATCATATCTGTTATTAACCTCTGTCTCTCTTCCACAGCATGTCTTTATCCTGTCTTCCTTCTCTCACCCCAACCGGTCGCAGCAGATGGCCCCGCCCCTCCCTGAGCCTGGTTCTGCCGGAGGTTTCTTCCTGTTAAAAGGGAGTTTTTCCTTCCCACTATTGCCAAAGTGCTTGCTCATAGGGGGTCAAATGATTGTTGGGTTTTTCTCTGTATCTATGAAGCGCCTTGAGGCGACTTATGTTGTGATTTGGCACTATATAAATAAAATTGAATTGAATGAATTGAATGTTTGGATGCACAGTGTTTCCACGCAGTGCCGCCTTGATGCTCTGAATAACGACCTCACTTCCTTTCCCACTATCACAGCTGCTGACTCAGCAAATGTTCTGCAGGAAACTGGAGCTGTGTTTTACCAAGTGAACAATGTCAGCAGGTTGAACTCGTTAGTCAGTCAAATCCAGCCGAGCGCCGTTTGCTGCTTCAATGAAGATAAAATCATAGGAAATCTGACCGCCTAACACGGCTAATGCAGCTAATCTGCTCCGGATGCACTTCTGATCCATTTCTTCCACTTCGCGCGTCTGAACTTGCCGTTTTTATGTTTCCAAAGTCTCAAACTTTCTGACGTCTTGCAGATTTTTAAATAAAACAGTGTCTAACAAAGAAGTGCTGCACAGGTAGATTTGGAGGAAATGCCCTCGCAGAGCCGTCAGTGCTGCCGTTTATTAAACCAACAGTGACGATTTATAAAGACATCTGCTCGTGTTTGAATACGATGACACGGTCAGCTGGCAGCAAACATGATGGCTCATGAAACAATGTGATCAATCAGCTGATCGAGTCACATAAACTCTGAACCATCTTCATGTTTCTGTTATTTAAAAAGGACTATGAATAGACTTAAATTCAGTGTGTAAATATGTCAGATTTAGCCACTAATTTCATCTAAATCACAGTTATGGACAAACAATAAAAACTAAGAACCAGGCCTCAAGAAATCAAAAACTAAATAACTGGACCAGTAAAGTAATGCAAACAGAGCTGAAGCTGAAACCACGACACATAATCTCTTCTCTGCTTCATCTGGACCTCATGGACGAGCGCCCGAGAAACAAACCAGAAAATCTCAAAACGGCTAAAAATAAAAAATCTGAAAAAAAAAAAAAAGCAGATTTGACAACATCTGGAGTGAAAGTGTAGAAGATCACTCTCCTGTGAGAGACGGCAGAGGTCCTAATGATCTGACTCCCAGATTTTCCATCGATCACCAGGATGTTCCACATGTTCTAACTGATGAGACAAAAAAACTAAACACTAAAACCTTCATTCCAGCTCTGAAGCATCTCTGAGCTCAAACTACACAGAGAGGATTAACTGATGATCCAAAGGAAGCAACAAGAACAAACCCCTGACCTATGAGCCGACAGCTGATCGATCAATATCACCCAGAATCCGAGTGATTGTCAGCAGCTAAGAGTTTCTGCACTCACAGAGTTCAATAAAGACGTGAAGTTAAATTCATTTTGTGTATTGTTTAATATTGATCTGCTTCTCCTCTCAGGTGGAATATAAGCTGCTCTGACGTTATGCACACGTAGGTATGCATCTGTAATCTCTGATGATTAACTCAGACCCACCTTGGAGTGTTTGGAGGGTGACATCGGGCTTCCCGGCGCTGCGTTCATGTCGAGGCTGATCACGGACGTCCAGTCAGACTCGGTCTGGTAGCTGAACTCTGTGGAAACGCTCATCTGGTCGGGGTCGAGGCTCCTGGTGCACAGAGGCAGGAAACAGAGGGGAGAGGATGTTATGTCACCGACCTTTGTTTCTGCTCTCATTGTGCTTGTGCGTGTGTCTGTGTTCATTAAAACACACACTTCACAACAGAAAAACACAACAACGTCCCAGGAGATGAACCACTAAGCAAAGCACATCCTCAAATCCTCCAATCTGAACCCCAAACTCAGCAGTTAGCTGAAGTAAACACAAACATGCCGCAGTGATAGAAACACCATCACGTCCTGCTGTCCTCCACCTGAAACACACAACACCACAGAAACATGAACAGCTGTGCACAGCAGCTGCACTTTCTCTCTTTCCCATTATCACTGGTAAGATTTCCAATTACTCTGAAAAATGATGGACTTTAAAAACATGAAGGATTAAAATTAATTTCCCGTCTAAAAGTCAAAGTTCTGCTTAAAACCTCACGATGACTACATCTGTCATTATAATGACAGCTCTCCTGCTAACACACTACAGATAAAGCACCATACCAGACCAGCATGTATGCATGTTATTAATGTCCTCAAGTGCAAACACACACCCATGCACGCGCACACACACCCATGCAAACACATGTGCTGCTTCACGTCAAAGCTGCTGTGTTGGTTTTCTTCTCACACCTCTGATTGTTTTAGAGGTTAAACAAACGAACAGGCGAGCCAGAAAAATGACACCTGACGAGGAACGCTCGCTCCCTGCATGCACGCCGCTCAGACCGAGCAATTAGAGCGCCGCAGAGGATTGTAGAGCACGTGTGAGACATGAGGAGATGTAAGTACTTCAAGGAGGAGCGGTTTCATGCAGCGTTTACAGACTGAACGCTGCTGCAGTCGTGCAGGACGTCAACAGGCCTCCATGTGTTGTGCTCGTCTTCATTTAGAGTTTGACTCCATCATCAGAGTGCAACACAAAGGCAGTTAAACTGTTCCTAACTGGACAGTGAGGCAGAAACCATTGTGTGCGCTCTCTTTATCCCTGCTGAGTTTTCTCTAGCTTTGCTTTTTGCTGCTGACAGCATGAGACGCTACCTGCAGCCTCTCAGGTGGAACAGGCGAGGACATCCATGGGTGTCATCATGAGGTTTGCTGTGTCTCTGAGCACAGTCTGCAGAGTGAGGAGGAGATGCCAGGAGACAGCTCATCATACGGGGGGGACCTGGAAAGGACCTCCTCCATCAGCAGGATCATGCTGATGGAGGATGGTATGTGCTCCTTTGTGTGAGGAGGAACGGGATGAGCCTTCAGCTGCTCCCTCATGTGACTCCCAAAGTCTCGTCTAACACTTAAGTTCAGCTCTAGATCAGTGAAAGAACGTCTGGTCGACATCATCTGACCACAACAATCTTTCTGTACCTGCAGCTGTCCTGAGCTCACAACTGCTTTTTAAATTAATCTGTTCATTTCTTCACTGAATCAAACTGAGTTTGACACTGTGCTTTAGCTGCCCAAAGGTGTTACCAAGATGGCTGCTAAGTGATGAAATAAACTTCTAGAAGACAGCTGGCTTAAAGTGGGAGGAGCTTGTTTCAGACAGAGGATGTACTAAGGGGCAATACCAAAGCCCAGTATAAGATAAAGAAGGATTATTTGAACTGTGACTCATGCAAAGCTGCTCTGGTTGAGTCCAAGTGTAAAAACATGGAGCTGGAAATGAGCAGTACAATAACGAATGACAACAACTGTTCATAAAGTTGCTACACTGCGAGGTTTCAAACACAAACAGCAGGACACGAGTGGCTGTAATACCTTCTTAACCCACAAGGAGGCAGAGTTTGACTGTTGCTTGCTGCAGGAACTCACATCAGGTAACGTGACTCAGTTTGTTGTCTGTCGGTCAGATTGTGCAGTTACCTCTGACTGTATCGTGACCTCGTCGTCATGTACAGACTCCTGTCTTTGTAAATAAAGTTAAAATTAATCGTGTAGCTGTGCAGGTGGGACTCGTCTGTGCTTCACACTCTGATCCATGTTTATTTCTTTGTGGTGTGAAACCTGATAAAACAGGCTGATAGCGCTCCTTGATAAGCGCCAGGTGATGTTACATGTGTCTGATGAAGACAATCTGTTCACTCTGATCCAAACTCCTGTTGTGAGGAGCTTTCTATTGATAACCTTAGAAAGGTTTAAGGTAGTTGGGGGGGAAACGGATGAATCATTGAAAAACCTGCAAAAACTTTATTTCACCACAAACTGTCCAAACCAATCAGCACGTTCTTCTGCCAGGAAATATTTTCATTTTTATAAAGTTTCACTGAAGGTCACCGACTTGTTATTTTGTGATTGGACATGTGTGAGACTGACCGGCCGGTCACCGGTCGGGCCGAGAACACTGGAAATCGTCTGATTCCGGTCCCTGGCCGATCGATCGGTGCATCACTATTAAAAATAAGAGCTGTTACAAAGATGGCTGACGAGAATAACAAACAAGGCAAAACGTCTTCTGAGTAAAATGTCCAGGTAAGACTTCACAGCCTTACTGAGATTCCTTTGAACAGTCTCGCCTCAGCCTGTCTGGGGTTTCCTCATTTTTCCTGAAATGTCTCAACATCTCATCAACAGACAAGCATCGACGTGCCGCCTCCAATCAGCCTTTTGGGAACCGAATCCTCGAGTGTGATCGTGCCGGCACATGTGGACGGAGAGAGGAAGCAGCATCTCTGCAGCCCCTCTGTGCTCGCCTCCAGCACGAGAGCTGATTTAAAACGTGGAGCGGTGGGATTTCACTCACTGGCTGTCATGTCGTCACTGCGGCAGCAGATAGATGTGCCCTGCAGTGATGCGACATGTACATACTTGGAGGTGGTTTCACCAGAACAGTAGGTTTGTTCACGGTCTCTGCACTCTGTCAGAGAAGGAAACCTTCAGGGGGAAAACAGAAGCAGGTCAAATATTTGTCCTCTCCATAAATAGATTCATATGATGAGCAAAGCTGTCATGCAGCGGCTGCATGACAGCTTTGCTAACAACACTTTGCATGTTCCTCAAACATATTTATGTATTGAGACAGTTTGATTCGTCCATGTAAAGGATCTTCGTTTTCTACAGCGTGGAAGCTCGCTCTGCAGATGTGCTCCTGTTTCTGCTGAACTTCAGTCGAATTAAACCAAAATGACTCCATAAACAAAAACAGGTCACATGACTGAGTTCAGAGACAGCTTTGTGTGTCCTGCACATTCTGCAGCCTGCTGCGAGTCCAACACCACCTCCTGCCTGTATTTCCACACAGCTGGAAAAATCTGTGAACAGATGTCAGAGAACAAAGAACCCTCACACAGAGGGGAAACTGTGAGATGTGCATCCTTACTTTAAAAAAAGTGAGTGTAACCTCTGATGCTGTTAAGGATGACTTGAGGGTGAAATGCGTCTCCCACACTGTCAGCGATCGGCACAAACCAGCCCCGACTTGTGTGAATCTTCTCTTTGTTGCAGCAGACAAAGATCTACTGTTACTGATGTTAAAAAACAATGTGTGCTGTTATGTTAATACACCAAGGCAACAGATGTCAGTGTGTCAGGGTTAGAATTCACAGATTTTATTAACAGCAGAAATTAAACAGCAGGCGGGTGGAGGTCGAGCGGGTGTAGAAAGGCTTCATTCTTCAAACCAGTGCTCCCCCCCCCCCCGACCCACGAGGAGGGTTTTTTAAGAGGAGTATAATTATTGACTTTCATCAGCACAGGAAATGCAAACATGCTTATTTTAAATGATTATTTTTAAAGTTTAATTACTTATCAAGAATGATCTATTCTTGTTCTATAAACTTCAGGTTAAATTTTACATGCGCACAGACTCTGATGCTGTGAAAGATGCTTTTTGTAGTCAACCTCTGCAAATTTCAACTGAAACTGTCACCAGCAGGGGGCAGCGTTTCTCCAGTACATGTCTGAGATGTTTTCAGACTGCTGCTGTTTAACTCCTGATATTTACTTTTAACTTCATCTTTTTCTTGAGAGGCTCTGCTTTTCATCATTTTAAATAAAAGCTCTTCTTTTTGCTTGTTAAATAAAAGTTAGATTGGCCCACAGCACCATCTCCTGGTACAATCTGGTATTACATGGAAGTACTGCACGGACCTAGTTCAGCTTTAGTTGACGTCTCCTCAACGCACGGATGCTTTGGATATGATTTTTAAAGGATGTTTTGATAGACTTTGTTAATCATATATAATACATTTTTTAATTATTTTTTGTTTAATTGAGTTAATTTAGTCGTGCTGCAATTATTCACCAAAACTTTGATACTGATGTATGTTTCATGTCTGCACCTCTTAAAACAGCTGTATTTTAACACAAGCCATGATATTTATCTAAAAATAGTTACATTTTCTGTGTTTACTCATTAAAAATTAGTATATCATTATAAAATATTTAATAATTTTCCTTTTTAGGTTATGCTTTTCGTCACACTGACAATAAGCTGCATTTACCACATAAAAAAAATGCTGCACTGCATTTTTAAGCTAATTTATGACAAAGCAAGTCAGAAGTTGTGGTTTTCTGAATTCTTCGGTGGTGTGATAAAGTTTCATCTTTTTCTGAGTTCCTTCTATGGAAAGGGGAGAAACACAAAGACGTCCGTAGACGCTTTTATTATTATGTGTTTCCTCCTTCCTTTCCAAAGTCAACATGTCAGCATTATTAGCAGCGTGTTCTCGTCGTACTGACAGTTTTTCTTCCAAAGAGGAAGTGTTCTCTGTATTTTATTCCTGTGCAGGACGGAGATGCACGGGTGAAAACAGGATTCGTTTTCCAAACATGGAACATGTCTGCACTTTAAAATGCTCGAATGCGTTCACAAACAATTGGCCTGGTTTTGCCTGCACGCCACGGCAGCAGTGGAAGCAGAGCGGCTGCAGCTTACTGGCTGCTGCAGACCCGCCCCGTGTCTGGCAAACATTCAGCCTGCAGCGGTCGTTCCAGGCACTCCCTAACGCTCAGCCAATTTCACAAACAACAGCTGGTTGGGTTCTCAGAGCAAAGCGCCTG